TGTGTGTCTCACCAGTCCTGTGAGTTTGTCCCTGAAGTACGGTTTCAGGAAGCTCCCCAGGAACATCTTGGTTGGATGCTGAAGGGACGAGGTGGTTCGGTCTTTGTCTGGTCCATACAGCTGAGACGTGATGTCCCTCTGAAGAGACGTCCCACATCATCACCTGCTCTCCAAGGGTTACTCCGGGTGTGTGTCTGCGCTCACCTGCTGTGTCTGGTTGTGGACCAGGAGTGTCTCCAGGTGGTCTAGCGTCTCCTGAACAACCTGCTGGTAGACCAGGTTCAGCTGAAGACACGAGTCCACGGACTCTGACAGACCGAGGTCACTCTAGGGACAAAAGACGATGAGACAACACCTGCATGGAATACACACTCAGGTGCAAACACACACCTGACAGGTACCGACCTCAGCACTGGAACTGTCCTCGCTGGACACACTTATTGGACTGTGCGGTCCCAGCATGTCCTCCAGATTCTGGATTGCTGTCTGGATCTTCTCCTTCTGGGCCAACAGGTCAGCTGGACACTGGACCTGGACACACATACACACACACACACACACACACACACACACACACACGCTTGTGTATTTGCGAGGACTCATCCTCAGCTTTAACAGGTCCTCGTCCTTACCTGTCCCAGCTCGTCCTCGCTGTCTGAGCCATCATCTGATGAAAGAGACACAAAGTCTCAGACAGACACAGATACAACAGAGACAAACAGAAGTACAGACAGGTACCTGTCTCACTGCTCAGCATGTCCAGTTCATTCTGAGTCACAGAGAGACTCTGTTCCAACTCGTCCACCTGTCTCTGGATCCTGTCCCTCTCAGCTGACAAGGACTCTGACATATCTGAGGAGAGAGACAGACAGGCAGGTCCTGGTTTAGAGACAGGTCTGAGGTCAGACAGTAAGGTCTCCTGGTTGCTCTCGTGTTTGGTTCTGGTATCATTCTTAGTTTTTTAAGTCACAGCTTGAGTTGACAGATTATATGACGTCACAGCGAGAGGGACAAATGAGGACAGAGACAGAATAATATTTTGATGAAATGAGAAGACAGACGGTTTGAGAGGAGTGAAGGAAGTAAAGAGAGAAACCGTCTCTAAACAGAGGAGGCAGCCTCAGACTTCAACTGTCAAAAACTTATAATGCAACTTTAGGACTATAGTTTCACACCTGATGGACCAGAGGGGCCTCGTCTGTGAATTAGAGGAACAAAGACCTTAAGAAACCCCTAGTGTGAGGTGTGATAGGTCAGTCTGCATGTGTGTGTGTGTCTTATCTCACTCAGCCTCTGAACCTGAACCCCTCACTCTCTGCTCTTTGAATTGAAGAGCTCCTCAGATGAGGAGCGAAACGTGTTCTGTTACAAATAAAGTCCAGCTGTTTTTGTACTGAAGGTTTTTGGACTCACTGGTTAGTGGTTTTCTTAAACTACACATGTTCTTGAGTTCCTTCACATTGTGAGTGTTTAAATGTTCTTACTGTCTCTATGAACCACAGCCCTGAGTGCTGCTGGTGTTTACTTCCATTTGATTTCACCAAACGTTTAAATGATCACGATCATCAGGATTTATTTCCAGCCACATTTCTTCCTGGAAGACGATGGGTCCCCACTGTCCTTCCAGTTTTTAATAATGTGTTGGACAGTTCTTCACCCAGTTTTAGTTTCTACAATCTCCTGAGATGTTTCCTCTGCTTGATGCCGATGATTTGACTCTTCTCAACCAGACGGACATCTTCTCCACGACCACCATGAGTCTTTCATCATGTTGTTGAAGAAATGAGAACTGGGATTAAGACTTTCCTTCTTGATAAATCCTATAGTTAGGGTCGGCTTGTTATGCTGCTATAGACTTAGACTACTAGAGGACAATCAATCAACCTTTATTTCTACAGGTAAATCCCACTGAGCCTCGAGGACTCATTTACAAGAGAGACCTGATTTAACAAAGAAAGATGACAACAATGGACAACAGCAACAACAATAAACAGTTATAAAAACTCATACTGCAGGTTTTTATTTATTTTTTTACAAATAGGATGGCTAAAAGGAAAAGGTAACAAAAAAACAGCCCTTTTGTCTAGTTCAGTCCTCACTGAGGGAACACTGCAGGTAATGATGTCCTGAGAGCGCACGCTGTAGCTGCTCTGACCTCTGACAAACTGACCTCATGTTCTTTAAATGAATTGTTAAAATTAAATAGTTTTCATTTGATACTATTTCTATCTTAACATGTGATTCTTGACCTGCCATTGTGTATCTATTCCTACCAAACCCAGCCGGTCGAAGCAGATGGTCCTCTTGTCCTGATCCTGGTTCTGCTAAAGGTTTCTTCCTCATGAGGGAGTTTTTCTTTCCACTGTCGCCTTCATGCTTGTTCAACATGAGAGTTCAGTGATGGAGTTAAACTCAAAGCTGCTCCTCAGATAAATAATGTTAAATTATTATTTTATATTTGAATGTTTCCGTTCAATTATTATTTTATAGATGAATGTTTCTGTTCAATTATTATTTTATACATGAATGTTTCTGTTTATTATTTTATAGATGAATGTTTCTGTTAATTATTATTTTATAGATGAATGTTTCTGTTCAATTATTATTTTATAGATGAATGTTTCTGTTCAATTATTTTATAGATGAATGTTTCTGTTCAGTCCTGAGACGACTTCTGTTGTGACTTGGAGCTTTAGAAATAAACTGAACTGAATGGAATTAAGGAAATGTGGTCAGTTTGTCCTCCAGCAGTCTAAGCCTATAGCAGCAGAACTAAGGGACAGCTCAGGAAACCCAAGCTGACCCTAACTATAGGATTTATCAAAAAGGAAAGTCTTAAACTGGACAATGTGTCAGTCTCATGGACAGAAACTGGAAGTTGGTTCCACAAGAGAGGAGCCTGAGAACTGAAAGATCTTCCTCCCATTCTGCTGCTGGAAACTCTAGGAACCACAAGTAAACCTGCAGTCTGAGAGTGAAGTGCTCTGTTAGGAAAATATGGAACAATAAGATCTGTAATATAAGATGGAGCTAGGTTGTTGAGGGCTTTGTAGGTTAGAAGTAAGATTTTGAATTCTATTCTGGATTTGACAGGGAGCCAGTGGAGAGAAGCTAAAACTGGAGAGAGATGATCTCTCCCAGTAACTCCAGTTAAGACTCTGGCAGCAGCATTTTGGATCAACTGAAGACGTTTTAAAGAAGTATTTGTACACCCAGATAACAAACCATTAATATTAGTTGCAGCCATCATTGCAGTATTAATATTTAGAACAAATAAAAAGCTCATTTAAAAGTAGAAACAAATAAATATCTGTGTACTTAATCCTCCAGTTAGTGTACAGCAGTCCTGGACTGTTTATCAGAAGCTATTTAATGGACGTGTCGTACCTGCAGCTGCTCCGTTTGTCTCAACGTAGCTCTGACGTTAGCACATTACCCAGCAGGCTGTGCGGCCGGAGGAACAATCCAGCGACGTTTCCACGTTCGAACTCAGTTCGACAGTTCCGGGTCACCCGAACCGGGTTTAAGTCTTTAGTCCGTTGCTCAGAGCTCGACCATGTTAAAAACCAGAACAAACTGCGACCCACCGTTCAGATTATCTTTTTTTTTCCTCCTGCTTCAGGATTCATTTCCGTTTTTTTTTATAAAACTTTATTGTCAACATGATACGATCACAGCAATAGACTTGCATCATGTATACGCCGGCGTACGTAACGGCGCATGTTGTTGTGGAGTCTGCACGAGATTTAAAAAGACCAAATGTTCCGCTCGATCCAAAAACGGAACTGACCCACAACAGGGTTGTTAGAGAATATGAAGATTCTGCCATTTAACAGCTGAGCTCTTCTCTCCCTGCTCCTCACTTCCAGCCAGGTCACACACCGGGGACAAGAAAATGAGCGGACCCAAAGAGACCGCCAGACCCAGAGCCCTATAGATTGGTCATTGGTCTTTAAAGGGCTCTGGCCAGATCCAGCGTCTTCTCAGAGTTTTACTTTATTTATTTTATATTATTCCTGAATGAAGAGTGTTAACTGTTGGTGCAGGACATTTAACCATATCAATGAGTTTTATTCATGGTCCTGATCTGAATTATTTATTCAGAAAGCAATTTTTATAAATTATTTCCATTAAAGTATGCAACTATTCTGTTATAAATCTGGAATTTAAACTGGAAATTCTTGTATTACATGTAATATTCAATGTTAGTGTATTCATTATCGCATCTAACTTTGTGCACAACTTATTTTAATCACTTCTCAATCACTTCCTGGTCTGCTGCCTTCATACATCTCCTCCTACATGTCTCTGTGTGAGTGCAGCTACAGCGTGCGCTCTCAGGACATCATTACCTGCAGTGTTCCCTCAGTGAGGACGGAACTAGACAAAAGGACCTTCTCCTACTCAGCTCCTGTTTCCTGGAACATCTTGTAAAAAGACCTGAAGCTCTCGACCTTTGACCTCTCTAAGGTTGTTTTCACAGCTGATAGTCCGGTAGACTGGGTTCAGTTCGGGACCAATATTCATGACATTTTGTTACATTTGAGCTGGTCTGTTTACATTCACACTGTACTGGAACCACTGGAGTTCTCTTCTACTGGACCCAGACCTAGGCTTTAGCCCGGGCCAGAGTTCACCTTTTTGTTCCGTGACAGAGTTCGATGGTGCGTTCACACCTCCCCAAACGAACCGGACTTTCTAGGAAAACGAGCTGGAGTTGGATTAAAGCGACTAAACGGGGCTGGTGTGAACGCAGCCGAAGTGATTTTTAACAATTGCTAAGTTCATGGCAAAAACCAATGCAGCCTTGTTCCTGTTTTTAGTTTTCTACACCGCCTTATAATGTTATAATTGATTTTATTTTATTTTCCATCACTGCTTTTATTTACTTTTTATTTTATGCGCCTCTTATGGCTGTTAATTGTTGTCTGTACCTCATCTGTGTCTAACCTGCAGAAATAAAAGTTGAATGAAAAAGAATCACAGAGTGGAACATTTCAAGCTTTGCTCATTTTGATGAGATAACTTACAGATGGTAAAAAACTAAAACTGAACATGTGATATTTCTCTGAGTTGAATGAATCTTTGTAATTTGTGAGTTTCACTTTCTGAAGCGATTGACTAAACAAGTGAACTTTCTCCTCAAGAGGACGTCTGAGGCCTTCACAGGAAGTGGGTCAGGCCTCGTCCCGGGGAGGCCCGTAGGACAAACAGGAAGTGTCTCGTTCTTGTGTGTCTGCCTGAGAAAAGCTCTGGGGGTCTGAGGAGGAAGAAGAGACTTCAGCTCATTCAGCAGCTGCTGAGCCACAGCTGCCTCCAGACTGAGCAGCGTGCTCACAACCTGAGACCACTTCTGTTTGTCTCCGTCTCTCCTGCAGGGCTGGTACAGGATGTCCCGGTGTCTCCTGGTGTCTCCGTGTTTCACTTTGTCCCTGTGAGCCGCTGCGTCTCTAGCATTGAAGGTACAGGACGTCCCAGTGTCTCCTGGTGTCTCAGCATGTCTCAGTGTCTTTCAGCGTCTTCCACCGTCTCTAAGTGTCTCTCAACAGCTAACTGTCACCGTGTCCCATGGCGTTCATCAGCATCTTCCAGTGTCTCTCGACACCTCTCTGTCTCTAGCGGCGGCGATACAGGATGTCCCAGCCATTTCTCCACTTCAGCGCCTGCAGCTGATTGGCTGTCAGCTCCGGGGTGCCGTAGGTCAAAGGGCAGAACGTCCAATAGGACAGGAAGATGGACAACAGAACAGCTGAAGTGCACACAGAGAGCGCACGTCGGTGTGTCCCCCTGCTGCAGACAAGCACACACACAAATTAACTGTTTGACTCCTGAACGAGCCCCCACTAAGACCCCAGCCATAAGCAGGAAGCAGCGTTTCTGCTGGTTGTTGGTGTGTGCGTACCTGAGCAGGTGTGTGTACATGTGCTCCAGCAGAGCAGGGCTCAGCAGGTACAGGTGACACAGTGCAGGCAGGTAGTGATACAGGAAGAGAGTTCTGTCCATCAGCAGGAAGGGAACGAAGTTCACCGACCAGCCGCCGACACACACGCAGCCCAGAAGCACAAACTGCTGCCACACACCTGAAAACACACACACGGGGTCAGCACGGATCAGAACCAGCTTTGACACCAGAACCTCAGAGCCTCTACCATCAGGAAGGTCTTTGAAGCCCCGCCTCCTCCTCAGCAGGTACACAGCTGCCAGCAGCTGATAGGCCAGCAGGCTGAGGTGGGCTGCGCCCCACGACAAAGGGTTACCAATCAGGTGGATCTGAGCCTGGAACACAAGAGCCAATCAGAGAGCAGAACTGGATTCTGTCTCTCTGTGTGTGTGTGTGTGTGTGTGTGTGTGTTACGTTGGTGGCAGCGTGCAGCCAGTAAGCGATGTTAGTTTCCATGGTGATCCACTCAAAGGGGGCGGAGCTGTATTTGTGCTCAGACACTTCCTGCTTCATCGTCAGCATCTTTCGCTGCAGTGACATCACATCATGACATCATCAGAGCATCTCATTACTGATTGGTTGATGAGTTGATGATGTGTTCATGATTCTACCTGCAGCTCCACAAACTTTGCCCAGAAGGACATTTTCCTGTCGACGTCAATTAGAGTTGGAGAATGAAGCTCCGCCTCCCGCTCCTTCTGCTCCTGACCTGCAGGTGATGCATCATGGGATACCATGATGTCACAACATTCAGCTCAACTAACCTCAGCTTTCCAGAAAGTTAAATCTGGTCCTCTTGAATGTCCAGAGGACCAGATTTAACTTTTTTGGATTTTTATACCTGGATTATTGAGCATGAGGATAACCTGAGCTTTGTTTTCACATCTGAGAGAAAAACTCAGCAGACAGACAGGAGGTGAAGGCAGACAGACAGGAGGTGAAGGCAGACAGACAGGAGGTGAAGGCAGACAGGCGGGAGGTGAAGACAGACAGGCGGGAGGTGAAGACAGACAGGCGGGAGGTGAAGACAGACAGACAGGAGGTGAAGACAGACAGGAGGTGAAGACAGACAGACAGGAGGTGAAGACAGACAGGCGGGAGGTGACGACAGACAGGCGGGAGGTGAAGACAGACAGGCAGGAGGTGAAGGCAGACAGACAGGAGGTGAAGACAGACAGACAGGAGGTGAAGACAGACAGACAGGAGGTGAAGACAGACAGGCAGGAGAAGGAGAACGTGGAGGAGGAGTTGTGGATCGTACTGGTTCCATATCGGTGCTCCTCCACGGTCCAGCCCAAACTGCTGCTGTGAGACTTCAAGTGTTTTTCTGCTACGACCTCCAGCTGATGGAAACCCCAGTCTGGAAGAGACGCACCGCTCAGCTGCACACACACACACACACACACACACACACACACACACACACACACAC